AGGCGGGGTTGCGAAAGGGCAGCGCCTTCGACCACCCAAGCCGCAAAACGCAAGAGTGGGCAGCTAACGCCACAGGAGCAACCAAACACCAAGCGGCAGAAATGCACACAGGGGACCGGAGGCAACCACTCCGCCCCAAACCCCCCCCGAATGGTGGAGGGACAGCGCAGATATGCAGATGCTCTTAAAGGAATTCGTATGGCTGTGCTGCCTCTAAACTACCCGGCGGAGACACTGGGGTCGGAGGAGCTCACTGTGCTCCAAGATCTACTCATGGAAGAGATATTCAGGGGATCTGGATATAAAGCCTCATTCCATGGAGTATATTTCAAAGGAGGCATGTTGCAGGTGGACTGCAAGGATGAGAGGTCTGCCGACTGGCTAAGGGAGATCGCTCCCAAGCTGGAAGGCTGGAAGGGCCCCGTTATCTGCGCAAAAAAGGGGGAAGACATACCGCCCATGCATAGCATGACGGTGTTCCTCCCCAGGTGCGCAGGTAAGCCATATGAGTTTGCTCTCGGGCTCATTCAAAACCAGAACGAGGGCCTTAGCATATCGGGCTGGAGAGTAGTCACCAGCAAGATAGAGGATTCAGGGTGGAGGCTTAATCTCTGCATCGATGACGAATCGTATAAATTCGTCAGAAGAGTGAGCTTCCGACTGAATTACAGATTCAGTTCGGTGGTCCTGAGGCCATTTAAGCCTAAGACGGCCACCGAAAATGAAGCGCTGGAGAAGTTGCTGGTAGATGAGGTTGCGACTCATCCCGGCACCAGCACGGCGGAGCAGGCGGCAACTGCTGGAACCAGGGTGAAGGTCCCTACGGAGAAGGCTGGCGAACAAGGGGGGGCGCTACCCTCCACGCAAGAGCTTCTCGAGGGACTCAGGGACCTAGCGGGTGGTAACGCGGAGGACGGTGAAGATGAGGAGCTCCTCATGGAACCGATCCTCTAGCGGGTCCACAAATCGAAATTGCCCAGGTAAACCTGCATCACGTGGCGTCGGCCCCGGCCGTCATCGCGAGCAGGTTTACAGCGGATGGTCTGGGCATTGTACTGATCCAGGAGCCATGGATCTACAAAGGAGAGGTCAGAGGCCTCAAAATGGTGAATAGCAAGGTAATCTGGGATCTCTCAAGTGAGAGACCCAGAACCTGTATTTTGTAATTAGGAACGATATTGATTACTTTTGTATTTCAGAGTTCCTAACACAAGACCTGGTCGCTGTGCAGGCAAAAAGTAACGATGGAGCGGACTTCGTCCTGGCAGCTGCCTACTTTCCTGGAAACACGCTGACAGCACCCCCAGAGGCCGTCGGGAACCTCGTGGATTACTGCAGGAGGAACAACCTGCCCCTCGTCATGGGATGTGACGCCAACGCCCATCATACTGAATGGGGCAGCACAGACTGCAATACACGGGGTGAGTCCTTACTTGAATTTATAGTAAGTAGGAATTTAAGCATTGTAAACGTGGGGTGCGAACCCACCTTTATAACCAGTGTAAGAAGGGAGGTGCTTGACATCACTCTTGGTAACGAACTCATGACAGGGCTGATCGGGCAATGGAGAGTGTCATCGGAACCCTCCATGTCGGATAACCGCATCATAAGATTCGCACTAGGGGTAGAGGTTAAGCAACTCAGTCCCAGGCGTATCCCCAAAAACTCGGACTGGGCCACCTTTAGAGATACGCATGAAATAAATCTCAAGATGAGGGGGCAGCTGGACAGCAGTGCCAGCAGTGCCTTTCGGACTGGAGAGCAGATTGTCTGCGCTAAATCAGTCCATTATGGAAGCATACAACAGTAGCTGCCCCCTGAAGACGACCACCAAGAACCGCAGTTGTCCCTGGTGGTCAAGGAGGCTCTCAGACCTAAGGAAAACGGTACGCAAGCTATTTAACAGGGCTAAGCGTACCGGGGACTGGGAGAACTATAGGTGCGGCCTAACTGCTTACAAAAAGGAGATTAGGTCAGCAAAGCAGAAGAGCTTCAGAAATTTCTGTGAAAGCGTCTCCTCAACGCCAGAGGCTGCAAGGCTGCATAAGGCTCTGGCTAGGGGCAAGACCGACACAGTTCTAGCAATTAAAAGACCGGATGGGACCTATACGTCCAGCGCGGAGGAAAGAGCCACGGCCCTTCTACGTGCGCATTTCCCGGAAACGATTCGAGAAGACCTAATTCGACCCAGGGTCGAACGAAAGCCAACTCGCTTAGATTGGACAGCCGCAAAACAGCTCTTCACTGCGGACTCCATTAAGTGGGCAGTGGCCTCCTTCGAAAAATATAAGTCTCCGGGTGCGGATGATGTTCGGCTGATGAGGGATAGCCTGGCGCTGGCGTATATCCCAGAACCTTGGCGCACTGCAAAGGTGATCTTCATACCCAAGGTAGGAAGGAAAGACTATTCGTTGGCGAAATCCTTTAGACCAATAAGTCTAACTTCCTTCCTACTGAAAAGCATGGAAAAGATCATAGATCACGAAATAAGATCGAAGGTGCTGAAAGCTGCACCGCTACAAGCGACGCAGCATGCTTACAGAGCAGGCAGATCAACCAATACTGCTCTGTATCAGCTGACCTCAGAGATCCGAAGTTCGTTGGACGGGGGTGAGGTGCTGTTATGCGCCTTCCTTGACATCGAAGGTGCCTTTGACAATACGTCACATGAGAGCGTGTCAAAGGCCCTGGAGAAAAGGGGTGTGGCGATGCCGGTGCGCAGATGGATTGAAGCAATACTGAGCACCAGGATCTCAATTTGAAGATTTTTATGTATATTTTCATTTGTTACAAACCATGGCGCATTCAAAATCATTCTTAGTGACTTTGACTGGTAGCGTTGAAAAGTTTCTATATTTGATTTAGAAGTCGTGACCCACAGCTGTATACCATATGTTCACACTGGTTTAAAAATCACTTTGTATAAACGAATTTTATTCTTAAGACTTAGTTCAGACTTCGCACCAAGAAACCAATACATTCTGTTTGTCTTAATTTTAAGTTGCTGCTACTTTAAGTTGCTACCACTTATATGCAACTATACTCGTACACGAGGGCAATCTTTTCTTCTGGTAGTAAATGTTACGCGAGCAGATTTGTCAGTATACACTATAACATTCCATTTTTATCCTCTCGCAACCTGTTGCTACAGAGTATAATAGTTTTGTTCACCTAACGGTTGTTTGTATCACCTAAAACTAATCGAGTTAGATATAGGGTTATATATATATAAATGATCAGGATGAAGAGACGAGTTGAAATGGTGACTGTCTGTCCGTCTCCGTCCGTCCGTAAGCTCCTTGCGTAAAATTGAGATATCTTTATGAAACTTGGTAGACATGTTTCTTGGTACCGTGAGACGGTTGGTATTGCAGATGGGCGTAATCGGACCACTGCCACACAAAACGCCATTTATAAAACAAATAACTTGCCCTAAGCTCCGCAATAAGATACAAGACTGTTATTTGGTACAGGATCACATTAGGAGGGGCATCGGTTAAAACTTTTTTAAAAAGTGGGCGTGTCCCGCCTCTAATAGGTTTAATGTGCATATCTCCTAACCGCTAAGGCTATAATAACAAAATTCACTAGAAGCAAATGTTTTTGCACTTCTGACTGGTATGAAAATAGTTGAAATCGGGAGGCAACTCGCCACTTCCTATATAACGGTACTGTTAAAAGACAGAGACATTAAATTTTATCTCTGAGATGGTATAAATTAGCTTTATAGGAACCGCGTTCAAATAGTCAGTGGGCTGGCTAGTATTCAACTTGAGGTTGTTTACATTAATCAAACCGGCTAGAATGAACTGACAGTTGGCCGTTACATTCATATAGTTGTATTAGAATGCAGCTCCGGTACAGCCGAATTTAACGTTTTTCTTGTTCATGTAGAAAATACACTAGCGAACTTTATCGTCCGTCTCTAGGGCAGAAAAGTTTCTTATACATTCAGAATTCGCTTTGGCCTTAGATCAACTATACTCCTGAGTTGTAAGCTTTCTTCACTACTCTTTGACAACGACCGGCTTTACCGATTATCATAATCATCATTTTATTTTTATGTTTATTTTTATTTGCAATCTGTCTTAATAACATTCAACAAAATTGAGGACGTAATTATTTATAACAAGAAATATCATTCATTATTTCTATGAAATCGATTTTTCAATATATAGAAACATATATCTTAACTGGTGTACATTCCTAATTTCTAAAGGGCAATCTAGAATTTGATAACTTTTGAGTAGTGGAGTTTCTAAATATCATCTAATAAACAAACTGCAAGAGCATTACTGTGATTAGATGTTTATAGTTTTCCTCCTGCGAATGGCAGGCACCTTGACGTGGTGCAGGGCTTAGGTCAAGGCATTCGTCATCTCCCAACCAATGTGAAGTGCTGCCTAGCACCTCTCACGCGGGTTTCCGAAGCCACATGCGTGCGACAACCAAGAGACTGCCACCTCCTAATCCAGGGTGTATGCGACTCCGTGCCCATTGGATGATTTGCAGCCAGGAGGTAAATTCGGCTGTATTCTGGAACTCAACACCGGCCGCATTGGGAAGTAACGGTGGCCTTACCGCGTCATGGGGCTCTGGCGCGGTGGACTTTCGCGTTCCCCTCACAAAACGTTGACCGGACGGCTTGCCATGTCGAGCCTAAGGTCGTAAGGAAAAGATGGACCACAAAAAACAAAAAACAAACAACAACACAAAAATGGACACAAAAAGGCAACAACATCAGCAAACGGACAAGGACAAGGCCAACAAAACCAGCGCCGGTGCAGGTAAGGGAGTTTCAGGGGCTAAACAGAAGTTTAGCTTCCTGGACGCCCTTTCGCCAGAAGAGCGAGCGCTGTTCGAGGAGCATGCAAGGGATGACGACGACGACATGCCCTCGTGCAGCGCCGCTCAGCAGGTGCAATTGACTGCGGCTGGCGCTGAAAAAGCGAACCCCAAAGAGGCTTCCCCGTGCAGGATCACCTGCTCGGACTCGAGCGACTCGGAACGGGCATCTACCGGGGGGGTTCGCAAACGGAAGCGGAAGAGGGGAGGCAGACTACCCCCTCTACCACCAAATGGGAGTCCAGGCGGACAGGACGATCCCAGGAGGAGACGCATGAGCGGGGCCAGCCTCAAATGGTACCTCAGGCACCTCCAGGAG